AGTAGACTTCAAACGGCAGGCTCTGCCATATTCTGCAGCCACTTGCTGCACCTGCTGAGCCAGCTCTCGAGTTGGTGCCAGCACCAAACACTGTGAACAGAAGTACAAATATAGTCATACTGTACTCTGGGTAATTACTGGTACAGATTGCACTGAAAATGATAGGACATTCTATTTTTTACTCCATTCTTTACTTTTTTACTTCATTCTTCAAAGTAAACACACTGGTGCAGATTCACTTCTGGCAGTAAAGCTCATTACGACTTTATGCCTTTTGGTTAGCGTTTTGCCATCTGTCAGCAAGTTTGTGATGGACAAATAAATCATATGGCTTCAACAACTGCTATAGAAGATGTAATGAACTGTATTTATACTACTGTAACAGGGATTTTGGCCACTGGAAGATCATAGGGAGCAAAGCAAAACTCACCAATACTGCAGTGGCAGTACTGTTCTGTGGCACTCTAGGGGAAAAATGGAAGCTGCTGAGAAGACTCAGCAGCTTAAAAAGATAATGAAATAGACATGCTCCCATTATTTATTCGCAGAACTTTAACAGAGATCCCTGCCCCTGTTTTAGTCCTGTTCAAGCTGCACCCAACATGAGCCCAAAGATCAAAAATCCAAACTTTCAGCTTGATTGATCCTATCACAAATACAAGTTTCTACAGTCATGACATCCAAGTTTAAGTTCTCGTTACCCCTGCCACACAACAAATTTTATGTTGCTCAATACTTACAATGGGCCCATCTCCTCGTTCTAGGAATGGCTGATGGTTTATGTGTACTATGGCAGGCAACAAATACTGTTGGGGAAAAAGGATGGATCTTAGTTCAAGGAAAAAAATATCATTCGTTTAAATCATCTGAACAGCTAAACAGAAGTACTTACAGACAGTGTTTTCCCCGATCCAGTTTGTGCTACGCCAACCATATCCAGTCCACTCAAGGCAACAGGCCAACCTTGTGCCTGAATAGCAGTTGGTTCCGTAAAGTTCTGTCTCTGAATAACTTCCATAACGTTTGCTGAAATACAATGAAGTATGCTAGTTAAGTCCAACAACTTTATTAAAGAGGTGTATACAAATATGTATTTACTACCAATAAATTTACTACTTACCTGGAAAGTTAGCTTCATAGAAATTCATAACTGGTTTTGGACAATTGTGGCCTTTAACTGTGATCTCTTTTCCTGCTCTGTATTGTTCAATCTCTTGCTGCAAATAAAAAAACCACGACTCATCAGGCATAATAGTCACTAAAGCAGTGATTTAAGCACGCTTTACTTACAGCACAATTCAAGCAACATTGTCTACAAAGTTAGTAGTTTTCATACCATAGGACGTCTGGCAACATCAGGATGTTCCTGGTAGAAGTTCTTCTCAAATTTAGGAAGCTCATCTAGATTCCATTTTTTCTTTGTAAGCTTTTCTCCAGGGTTCCCAAACTTCTTCCCACCTAAAGATCCCCCTCGACTTCCTCCAAAACGAGGGCCACCAAACCTGCCAAAGCAAATTTTAATTCAGTGTCGTAAGTAGCCATGGTTAAGGGACATATTAAAAACGATCGCTGGTATCTGTGTACCCCATAGCTTCCAACCCAAAAGTTAAAAACACAGTAAGGTTCAGAACTGGTAGGATACTAGAAAAGAGAACTGAAGTTGGGTTAACGCTACAAAAACAAACGTCGCCGTCGGTAATTGCCGGGCACTCCCTCTTTGCGTCAGGCTCCTAAGTGGGCGGGGATGGTTATGAAACCTACACGGTTCCGGTAAGAAGCTAGCTTTTTCAAGCGGCGGGATTAGGCTACTTCTCTTTTTAGACACATATATTAACGCTTCATTCAGAGCCGGGGGAGAAATTCGAAGCACGGCGCTTAAGGCGCCTGCGCGCACCCAAAAGGGCTTCTAAATCCCGCTTAGCCTACCCCCCCGCCTAGCCTTCGTCCCCTAAATTAATCCCATTTCTAGACTGGGCTTTTTTGTCCGGGGCGCGTGGCAGGGGAGAGAGGTGGCGCCGGGGGAGGCCGCCCGCCCAAACGCGCCAAAGCCGCACACAAAGGAGGCCGAGAGGCGTCTCCCCCCTCCCTCCCTCCATCTCTCTCTCCCTCCCTCCCGCTTTTGTCTTTTCCGTCTACGCCACATTTTCTAGTCGGCGCGTCCATTTTGACGCCGGGGCGGGGATAGAGAGCAGCAGACGGAGGAGGAACAAAGGCAGCCGCCGGCATTTTGATTTCCCCCTCGGTCGCCGCATGGCGAGGCCAGCCATTGACATCCGCCCGAGTCCAGAGACAAAAAAAAGGGGGGAGGGGAAACCGGTTTCGGCGAGAAGATAAATCCCAGTCCGCACGTCCTTTTCTGCCTCCTGCCCGCTGCGCTTCTCTTCCCTGCCCCCCGCTTAAATCGCCTTTTTTCTCTCCCCCCCCCTCAGCGGAACACCACCGTCAAATTAACCTCCCGCTTCTCGCCGCCACCCCGCCCATCCTAACTATCGGGCCTCGGCCAGCGACGACGTCCCTGAGGCGGTCGGTCATCCTCCTTCCTCCGCCCCCTCCCCTCATTCCGCGCGCCTCGAGCGGTCGCCGGGAAACGGCTGCTTCTCGCCGCCGCCATTTTAACGACCCCCGCCATCCCAGCCCCAGACGGTATTTTAAGGCGGGAGCCTCGGGGAGCCGGCCGCGTGTTAAGTGAACCGAGCCCCTCAGGCTCACCCGCGGTCCCTCTCACTGGAATACCCAGGCATGCTGACGGCGACGGCGACGGCGGCGATCAAGACGTCGAGGATGAAACGGCACGGACGGTCCACAAACGAAACGCCGATGACGAGGGCGACTGAATGGGGAGGGTCCGGCCGGGCGGATGCCGGTTATATACCCGGCGCCGCCGCGAATGCCGGGAAGCCGGCTCGTGACGTCAGCGACGAGCTCGTTCTCGCCCTCTTCCCCCGCCCCCGCAAGATTCTCCTCTGCTGTTCCTCGAAAGGCGGGGCAGGGAAGGGGGGGCGCGCGCTTGCGCACGTTCTCGTCCTCGAAGCCGGCCGGCCGGCGTGCCGTGTGGTTGTAAACTAGGCCAAACGGAAGCGGCTCTCCTTGTCCGGCCTGCCATCAACGCCGGCCCAGGAAGAGTCTCGGCCTCAAACGACCTGTAGGGCTTCCAACCCCTCCACTTTACGCTACTACCCCCCCATTTAAAAGCGAAAGGAGGGTCGCCCCCGCACAGCTTAGGGAACGAGCTGCCTGCGCCCCCGGGAAGAGAAATACCGTGCGATTTACGGTAATGGTGAACTCCTCCCGGCTTAGGGAGCCTTTCAAAGCGATGGTAATGAAGGAAGCCCTTCATAGCGCATAGGTTTCCAGGAAGAGTACAGCACCCGCTATGGACGTAGCCAAGGGAGAGGCAGCTGCCTCCACAATCTATAAAAATCAACATTTGTTGTTTAGTCGTGTCCGACTCTTTGTTTAGTCGTGTCCGACCCCATGGACCAGAGCACACCAGGCACTCCTGTCTTCCACTGCCTCCCGCAGTTTGGTCATACTCATGCTGGTAGCTTCGAGAACACTGTCCATCCTCTGTCGTCCCCTTCTCTTTGTGCACTCAATCTTTCCCAACATCAGGGTCTTTTCCAGGGAGTCTTCTCTTCTCATGAGGTGTCCAAAGTATTGGAGCCTCAGCTTCAGGATCTGCCCTTCCAGTGAGCACTCGGGGCTGATTTCCTTAAGAATTGAGAGGTTTGATCTTCTTGCAGTCCATGGGACTCTCAAGAGTCTCCTCCAGCACCATAATTCAAAAGCATCAATTCTTCGTTAATCAGCCTTCTAGCAAACTCAGGCAGCAGCGTAGCGTGGGTTGTCAGCACCCGGGACAAGGCAAGTAATTTGCGCCCCCTAACCCGTGGATTTGCGCCCCCTAACCCGTGGATTTGCCCTAACCCCAGATGTTGCACCCGGTGCGGCCAGCCCCCCCTGCACCCCCCACGCTACGCCACTGAACTCAGGTTCTGCCCTCTAACAAAAGGCCTACTCTCCATGGTACCCACTTTGGAAAGTCCAATTCTATTGTCAGGGCAAGAACCACTGAATGCACTGCACTTAACAGCAGTAATATAAAAGTCTCGCGTCCCTGACCTGATGAGAACCCAATCCTATTAATTTTGTGCATTGTGCTCCTCTTCAGCGAAGTTGCTTCTAAATTTCAACTGCAGAGTGATCTTTCTGCGGGAATAGTGTTGCCCCAAGGCAACAGGCTCATTCCTCCATTCCCAAGCACCCCACTCTCTTCCCTTTTCGCTTGCCAAAACGAGTAGCAATAATGGCGATTTATTTTGTCTTGAATGTAGTTCAGGACATGAGAATGGCATCAGTGGTACAAAAGCAGCACAGCAGCAGAGAGGACACAGGATAGGAGAGTGAAAGGACACACCCCTCTGGATGATGACAGCAACCATCACGATACTGGAATGTAACAGGCCAACTTGCAGCACTGAAGAGAGTCATTGCAGAGGTCACTACCACAAGTGCATATGAGCTGTAGAAAGGAAAGAGAGTGCACACATTTGTGTTTTTAACTGCCCTGGGGTCATCTGATGGAGGGTGAGCCAAAACAGGTATTTAAAAATAAAAAAGACACATGGCAATAAACCATAGCATTCTGCTCTCACACAACTCACAGGAAACTTGAGACTGATCCACACCCTATATTTAAAGCACATCTGACACACTTTAAAAACACATGACTTCCCCAAAGAATCCTGATAACTGTAGGGTTTTTTAAAGGTGCTGGGAATTATAGCTACAGTCTCAGAGTTTTTTGGAGGAATGATGTGTATCAGTTGTGCTTTAAATGTTTGGTGAGAACCTATCTAAAGACTACCCATTGAAAACAAGATGGCAGCACAAAATTATTATTATTATTCCTGATAATTAAATTTGTATCCCTTTATCTGTAGATCTCAGAGCAGTTCACAACATATACAAGATAAAAAAGACAAAAGAAATAATAAAAGCAAGAATAACTCCTCCTCCCACATTTTATTATTTTTATTTACTCATCCAAAACCTATTTTGGTATTATCCAGGAATCAATTCAGTTTGAGCTGCAGAACTCAAGTGCCAGGACTATTAGTATTATAAAGGAAAAATGATGATTGGAATAGACATTGAAAGTGCACAGAACCAAGCAAATAATACACATACAACAAACAAAGCAACAAACAAAGCCAAAAAGCAGAGTAACAGTACAGCAATTATCAGATTTCCCAGAAGACCTTCATGCCTCTGGATAAAGATACCAGTGGGACTCTCAACAGCAGCTACAAGCAACACCATTTAAGTGCAGAATCCATTTTTGGAAAAGGAGAGCTGAGGTCAGGTGTATAAAATCAGCAGTTCTAATACTGGTGATATAGCACCCACATACCCCTGTACCCCCACACTATACCTACCTTGGGAATTTCAAATGATCATAGACACTGTGTGTGTGTGTGTGTGTGTGTGTGTGTGTGTGTACATTAGTTGAAGTGTCAGCTAAAGGCTTACAACAGACTAAGGGATTGTATCATCAAAGCAATAACCACACACGGAAAATGAAAGCAAAAACTCAGCTCCAATATGCTAGCTCCAATATGCAACAGGTCCCAGATAAATTCCCCAAGCACAAGGCTTTATTTCTTCAAAAGTTTGTAACCTGGACTTTATTAGTCCTATCAGTACAGGCATAAATTATAACAGAGAAATCCACCACACCCCTGGATCTTAAAGCAGCAGCAGACAACTACAGGGAGAGGTACCACTTCATGTTTTTAGTTGCAATATAGCTATGGCTTTAAAGGTAATATCAGCACCTTAGATTGGGCTTGTAATTGAATATGCAGCCAATGCAGTTGTTTTAAGGATCAGTGAAATATGAACCACACTTTCCATACCTATTAAACACCTGGTAATTGCATTCAGCACTAAATGACTCTCTGGCTTCAAGGATAATTTATTGCAATAATCAAAAGAGAAAGTTACCAAGGCATGGACCACTGGTCAGACTATCCCTGTCCAGGAACAGTTGTAGCTGGTGAACTACTTGAAACTGGAAAGAGACACTTCTCACCACCAAAGCCTCAAGTGACAGTGCTGTATCCACAAATACCCATGACGTACATACCTGGGTTACACAAGGTTGTAGCCAATGCTGAAATGAATAGACCCAAATTAGTCATATTCATTGATAATAATGGGTCTACTCCAAGTACAACCTACCATAAATCAAGATGTAGCATAAGTACTTGGGCAATGCCCAGGACAATGAATGTTACTTTGGGATACGGCAAAACTACACACAATTGTGTAGTTCAGCAAGTATGTGTTGCTGGCATTTCCTGGACTAAAGGAAATACAACAATGTTTTGAGACATTAGATTCATTTTAATCAAGTGTTTTCAGTCTTTAGCTTTATCTCTCTTGTGACTGAACTCAACTACAATATGGATGCTAAATCCAAAACCATTATTATCAAAACTCAATATACAAAGGTTATAAAGCTAAAATAAAGTGTTACGCTTCTGGACAATGTGAAACGTGAATGGATAAAATAGTGAATTCCATGAAGTCACAAATGAAGATTTTGGGGGGAAACTATCACGCTTCTCAAATTTATTTCTTTGGAATAGGCATTTGAGCAAAATCGTTCTACAACAAGCTAGAGAATAGAAATGGTTAAGGTTAGTTTTATAGACTCCAATGGAACATTAGGAACAAACGGCAATGGCCTGGGATGGGATATAGCAGAATTCCAATTTTGCAAACTCCTCAGATCCCACTGATGAAATGCTGAAAACTGTTCTCTTTCTCAGAGGAATTGCCTTCCAAGACTTCTGCAGTTTTGACCTTGCTAGGCTCGACTTGGCTCCCCGTAAGTCACATGTGCCCAATGTGCCACGCAAGCCTTTATTCTCCTGCCCACCTTCCATTGCCTTCAAACCTATAACCATGTGCTCCGTGGCTAGTTGGCAGCAGGAGCAGGCGCTCAAGGCTGGCACATTGTCCTTGATCATCCAAAATGAGGTCTGCCAAGGGGCCTGTTCCGCTGGTTTACATCTTTCAAAATCGACATGAGTGCTGCCATCGGAAGAGGGTTCTTCTGCCCCGTCTGGAAACCTGGCGGTGGACCCAGGCACCGCTGGTCAGTGGCCTAGGTCTGCAAAAAAAGAGGACGCCTTTGCTGACTTCTACTTTTAACTATGACGACTCTCCTTTTACATACCCGTAAAAAGGGGATGCGGGTGGTGCTGTGGGTTAAACCACAGAGCCTAGGACTTGCCAATCAAAAGGTTGGCGGTTCGAATCCCCGTGATGGGGTGAGCTCCTGTTGCTCAGTCCCTGCTCCTGCCAACCTAGCAGTTTGAAAGCACATCAAAGTGCAAGTAGATAAATAGGTACCGCTCCAGAGGGAAGGTAAACGGCGTTTCCGTGCGCTGCTCTGGTTCGCTAGAGGCGGCTTTGTCATGCTGGCCACATGACCCGGAAGCTCGGCCAATAAAGCGAGATGAGCGCCGCAACCCCAGAGTCGGCCACGACTGGACCTAATGGTCAGGGGTCCCTTTACCTTTAAAAAGGAGGGTGCGTCCTGGAAAAAGAGGACGCACGGCAACCCTAGCTGGGCCGCATGGTGTTTTTGTGTCTCTGTGTGTGACCTTAGGCCGCTCGCTGTCTCTGTCTCCCTAGCCCACCTCACAGGGTTGTTGTGCGGATAAAGAGCGCGTGGGAGAGGGGAGGACGGGCAAAGGAAAGGCAGGGCAAAAAAACCAGGACGCAAATCGAACAAGGCAAAACGGGAGGCTCGTTCCCGCTCCATCCCGCCATCAATTCCCCCGCCGCCGTTGCCACGGCAACTGGAGCGGCCTGGAAAATAAACAGCCGCGGCAACAAGGCGGGCGGGCGGGGGGGCGGGGAAGGCGCGAGCCGACAGAGACAAGAGGAAGTCCTGCCTCTTCCGCTCCCGGATGGCCAATCGCAAAGCAAAAGGCCGTAGAGCGGGCCAATCGTTTAAATATCCCTGGGCATCGCTTAAGGGCGAAGGAAGCGGGAGGTGAGGGGGCCGCTCGTTTGGGCCCGGCTGCGGGAGATTGTCGCCTCAGCGTCCCAAGATGGGCGCCGCTGAAAGAGGTGGGCGGGCCCGCTCCGACGAGTTCCGGGCAGGGGGTGGCTCAGGAAGGAACCCCCCCCGAAGGCGAGGGACCCTAATTTCGGAGGCGGGAGGGCGACACCCATTTCCCCCCTCACCCCATTCCCACGTTCTCCTAACACCTGTTGCCCCTCAGCTGATAGGAGTCGGGGTTCAACACCTCCGGGGTGGGTTCCCGTTCCCTGTGCTAATAATGCTTTCCATATGGCTCTCCCCTCGCACGGGAGCGAGCAAAACCGCCGAGTCTCTTGGGCTTTCTGTTCGGAAGGTCGGCGGTTCGAATCCGCCCGACGGGGTGAACTCCAAACATTGCTCCGTCCCAGCTTCTGCCCGCTGGACTTCACCATCCAGGGGTCCTTTACCTTTTTACCTATGTAAAACAGCGGGGCCACATCAGCCCCTATCTCTATAGAAACACAGCTTAGTCGTCTGTGATGTGAGTTTTCTCTTAAAAGCATCAGATTCCCCACCCTCGTTCCTATCTGGAAATCTTCTGATGCTGTACCACAGGGTGATCCATTTAACATGGTTATTTTTCCTTTTTTTAAAAAAAAGACCTAACCAACTTTGAAACGACCCAGTAAAGATAAAAAGGTAAATTGGTAAAGAACCCCTGGACGGTTAAGTCCGGTTAAAGGCAACTATGGGGTTGCGGTGCTCATTTCGCTTTTCAGGCTGAGGGAGCCGGTGTTTGTCCGCAGACAGCTTTCCTGGGTCATGCGGCCAGCATGACTAAACCGCTTCTGGCACAATGGGACACCGTGCCAGAGTGCACAGAAACGCTGTTTACCTTCCCGCCACAGTGGTACCTATTTATCTACTTTTGAACTGCTAAGTGGACAGAAGCCAAACTTCCAATCAACACGAATACTGGGTTGCCCAGTATTGTATTTGCAGTCGGTATCCATGAATGGTTGCTAATACAGTGGTACCTGTGGTAATTTGTTCCAGAGGCCCGTTCTTAACCTGGAACTGTTCTTAACCTGAAGCACCACTTTAGCTAATGGGGCCTCCTGCTGCTGCCGCGCTGCCGGAGCACAATTTCTGTTCTCATCCTGAAGCAAAGTTCTTAACCTGAAGCACTATTTCTGAGTTAGCAGAGTCTGTAACCTGAAGCGTATGTAACCCGAGGTACCACTGTAATGAATTTATTGGAGGGGAATTCTGCACCACACATCCCTGTAATTCATCTCTAGGCATACAATCTGACTCCACACTGGCAAAGTCAAGAGAGCTATGTGTTAAGTCTATCTAGTATGGTATAAGTGTCTGTGGATTTGAACCAACTTCATCAGATATGGTGAGAAGGGCCCTCATCTAGGAAAACACAAGGTGCCCAAGAAGCACATATATGTGACCATTCTGTTGCATGTCTTTATCGCTCTTGCCTGTGAAGTGCTGGTAAATAATTCTTTTAACTTGTTTGATGACACAGATGAGAAAGCTACTCTTAGAGGAATTTTGTTCTCTTAACAATGCACAGTTAAAAGGGAATCAATTCCTATGGCTATTCCAATTGTGAGTGCTTACAATAAATACAAGATTGATTCCTTGCCTTCAGGTAACTAAACATCTGATAAAATGCTGCTGCTTTTAGCACATCGGAAACAAGCATTTTTTCATTATATTTGTAATAACATGTATGTTAGCAGTATAGCAATATAAGCAAGCTTTCATTGGTTGCATATGTTTTCTCTTTAATTTGTGCCTTTACAAGGTATCTTATGCGTATGAATAACACTTGCCTGTGAATGAGCCCCACTGAAGTCATTTGCACTTAATTTTGAGTATATCTGTATAAGATTACACTGGGAGGGGAGAAGCTCATGTTCTTAGAAAACTGAGCACATAGTGCTGTCCTGGTTTTTGTCTTGGCTTCCTCACTTGGCACTAATCTAAGAGAGTATATTTGGCATTGCTCTGAGAGATCTGTTGCTTGCAGCTCCTTCCGACAGGTTTTGACAGTGGCTATACAAAAACAAGTATGCAATTGCAACATGATATCCCAGAACTGGTTCACAGGGCTCTAATATAGAGCTTATATATACTTATATTATATACTTATATTATCTGGCAAGGTTTATCAGATTTCCATATATTTGAGAACAGAATGCATCCCAAATTAGGTAGTATTTGAACAGAGTTTGTTTCAGAAACTGGAAATTGACTAAAGGTTTGCAGGCCCACCAATATTTTTCTTTCTTAAACCATTTATTTACAGTATACTCAGAAATAATATTTAGTACATCACAATGCAAATATAGGAGTTCACCAATGTTTTGATACCCAAAGCGGTCTATATCATTAAAACAATGCATGCAAAAGCTAAACTAAAATGGTCACAGTGGCATCACAACCTTTATCGTTCATCAAAATATATTTTAGTTTTGGCTTCCTACTGCATGTTACAGACCCAACAAAATGCTATGTCAGGGATAGGGAGCTGCTTTTGTCTGGCCACATTTGTCTGGAGGGTGGGGCCACCCACCTGTCAGTCACCTGAAGTTATGATTCTAAGTCATGCTCTCCTGATTGCTTTTTTGCAGCAAGGCTGACATTTGGCATTGCTTAAATTTGTCAGTGAATTATTATTACTATAAAATGATTGACACACCACTTAATGCCCGGTTGGCAAGTGCAATTGCTTTTGGCAGTAATTGGAACTACTCAGGAATGCAAACGCCTGGTGAGAAGGAACAATCAGGAGCACACACTGAGCTTTATGTTCCTGGTTCTTCATTGGCACCCACAACTATACGAGTCCCACATCTGATTGGTGTGAATGAAAATGGCCTCACCGGCCAAATTAGGCAGCCTTGGGTGCTTAATTTGACCTGCAGATTCCCTACCAGCATGGTTAGTGTTGGGTAGAAAAAAAATGCTTTCCATTGCTGTTTCCAAAGGGCTTACAGCTTAAAAAATATAGGAAAGACAAATGTGAAAAGACCAGATTCTTACATTTGGATGGCATGCAGCCTGAAGAGAATTGTGCAATCAACTATCATATTACCTTTTTTCTTTCTAGTAATCCCTCTAAGCATCAAAAAAAGGAATCTGAAGATAATAAATTGATCATTAAAAGAAGCAACACTGCCACATTTTCTTCCTGAATTGTCTGCAATATCATACCAGGCTGACCGAAGAAACACATGCTATATTTTAAGCTAGTATTTTACATACATTTGTAATAAGATGAATGATAAGGTCTAGACTAGAGAGTTATTTAAAAATGTGATAATATATTTTTAAAAATATATTTTTAATTACTAAACTTGATACTCCTATACGAATTTGATCTTGACCTCTAAACGCCACTTTCCTTACCCAACAAGATTGGTGAGAATGTTGGTTCATCATGGGCTACTGCAGTGGTAATAAACAAATAGGCCTGCCAGTTCAATTGCTGGAGATTAATGTATGCATTATGAGATAAATGGCAATTTTGCACCCATTATTTCAGAAAACTTGATTTTGATGGAGATTAAAAAAACATTGTTAAGTCCTTTTTGGGTCCTTGATAGAAGATTTTGTAGCCTTTTTTATGCAAACACATTCCCTGAAAAGCCATAATGTTTCATCTCTCTTATTTTAATAGAATGGGTCAATGTTGCCAATGATCTCCTGACAAAATGTAACATAGATCTGCACGTTAGCAATCTCTCTGACTGTGGAGCTAAAGTGTTTATTCATCTTTATGAATCGATATTGGGAGAGACAGTGCCAGGTAAGAATGCATGCCTCCTACAATGTCTTGGTTTTCTAGGGTAATGTTTTTCCCCTGTTGTCTATGTATATTTGAAATAAATAGTAATGCTGTGAGATTTGGATTTAAATAGGCATCATATGTTCTATATCCAAGAGCTTTTAATAACATAATGAGAAATATATATGAATACACACACACACACACACACACACACACAATTGTAACTAAACACAAATGGAAACTGCTTTAAACTTCTTTTTAACAACATTGGCACAAGAAAGCACTGAACGATTATACACAATCCACTGTTATATAGATTTCTGCCAACTGACTCATGGGGTCTGTGCAGACTTGCTCTCAGATTACATGAAAAGCAGCTTATACCGTATACCGTTCTGTGAAATAATAGCATGATGCACTCCTATTATTTTATAGATGTCATAGCCACACCTCTTTGCCCTGAAGATGATGCCCATAATGTGCAGGCAGTGATAGATTCTTTGGCTTTGGACTACTTGCAGATCAGCTTATCGCATATAACTGGTGGGTACCTATCATTTGTGATCTAGTTGAGATTCCTGCATTGCAGGGAGTTGGACTAGATGACCCTCAGAGGCCCTTCCAACTCTACCATTCTATGATTGCTATTGAAAAAAAATTAATAATAAAAAATTATATGTACTTTTATGGTTGGTGCGAGCAATAATTTAATTATGCCGGATGTATGTAAGTCTGACAGTGCAATATTTATTTATTTCATTAAGTTCATTAACCTTTATGAATTCACTTAATTATAAACAAAAGTTCAAAGTGGTTTACAAAAAGATAAAATTGAGAAAAATTTCCTAAAAAAGTTAAAGTACTAAAGCAAATTAAGATCACCTCAACTATCTAAGCATCTGGATAGGCTTTTCTAAACAATAATGCTTTTAGCAGGCGCCAAAAAGAATAGAGTCATACTTCAGGTTACAGACGCTTCAGGTTGTGTTTTTTTGGGTTACGGACTGCCGAAACCAGGAAGTACCGGAACGGGTTACTTCTGGGTTTCGGCAGTTGCACATACACCTAAGTGCTAGATTACGCATGCGCAGAAGCACTGAATCGCAACCTGCACATGCGCAGATATGGGTTGCGAACGTGCTTCCTGCATGGATCACGTTCACAACCCGAGCGTCCACTGTACAGTGAAGGCAACCTGCTTGATCTCAATAAGCAGGGAGTTCTGAAGTTTAGGCGCTGCCAAACTAAATGATCAAGTTTTTACAGATGCGGAAGGGGTATTACGTGGTACTTGTAGTAGTACCAATTCTGCTGATCAAAGGGTTCAAGTAGGCACCTGTGGGGTAAAGTGATCTCGTAGGTAAACTGGTCTCAAGTTGATACGGGCTTGATAAGATAAGTTGGCTTATGTTGATAAGATACTAAGAGTAACACCTTGATATGATATGATATGATATGATACATATATCCCCATTGCCTCCTGAACCTGCAGTATATAAAGAACTGCAGTCCAGGTTCCTGAGGAACTCCATGTGACTTGGTTTGGGAACCAACAGAGCATATTGTGGTCAAGGGAAGAAGAGAGAGATGGGGGGGGTGTTTCTGCAATAACTCAGTAGGATATAACCCTGTCTACTTAGGGAGCAATATTTAGTCTCTGTATGAACTTGGCAATTTCCTCCTCCCACATTTTTAATCAATGTTTTCACTTACTGGAAATGTGTGACCTGGGCTGCAATCCTAAACACACTAGGGAGTGTGTCTCTGTGCTTCTGTGTAAAAGCGCACAGGGGATCATGCTGCGCAATGAAGCACATTATCCCAGTAAGACAAATTGATAGGGCATTCCTAAAATCTAGGAAGTATATCCGACTTACTGAAAGATTTAGGACCTAAATCTTTCATTAGTTAAAACACATTTAGAGGGCAGTATCCCATGAAGGAACTCTGTTAGCACAAGGATTTTGTTAGTGCATGAAAGACATTTGGGACACAATACCAGTTGCATTTCTTTCTGACTGACTCTTCCCTATATCAGCAGTTATCTAAAGAGGAAATGTCACTGCTTTGGATACTGGGTTTGTTCATGGATCTCTATGGTTAGCACTGTGAGGAGGGTCAACCCCCCATCAAGGCATACAAATATACTTATGTCAGAAACGGTTATCCCTCTCCTAGCAAAACAATTGCACCTTGTTGGGGAGATGGAGCTTACAAGAATTCTTGGCATGCAGGATTGTGCCCCAAGTGTTCTAATGCAGCTCATTAAACAAAGCTACAGAGTTGACATTCCCTGCTGCTACCCTTTCCTTCCATTTTAGAACTGTGAGTCAGAGGTGAGATTACTTGAAACCTGTTGTGAGTTTCCTTTCCAACTCTATGCTCCATGGAGCAGCCTCAGATGCTTTCCAAGGGCTTCCAAATTTTTTAAAAAGGCATTCTGAGGGATTTGGAATGAGAAAGGAAAACATCCTCTGCATGATTTTCTCTCATTGTGAATTTCCCTTTACTTCATCTAATCATAATGAGCAGAGAGAACAATCCACAACACGGCTCGCTTTATGCCGACTGTTGCATTAGGCTAATAATAATAATAATAATAGTAGTAGTAGTAGTAGTAGTAATAATAATAATAATAATAATAGTAGTAGTAGTAATAATAATAATAATAATAATAATAATAATAATAATAATAATAATAATAATTTATTATTTATACCCTGCCCATCTGGCTGAGTTTCCCCAGCCACTCTGGGTGGCTTCCAATCGAGTGTTAAAAACAATACAGCATCAACTATTAAAAACTTCCCTAAACAGGGCTGCCTTCAGATGTCTTTTAAAGAGAAGATAGCTGCTTATTTCCTTCACATCTGAAGGGAGGGCGTTCCACAGGGCGGGCGCCACTACCGAGAAGGCCCTCTGTCTGGTTCCCTGTAACCTCACTTCTCGCAATGAGGGAACCGCCAGAAGGCCCTCAGCGCTGGATCTCAGTGTTCAGGCTGAACGATGGGGGTGGAGATGCACATCTTTGACCTATTTGCATGGAGCCCAGCCCTGCCCATCATTCTCCCGGTTGTGAAAGGCATACGCTACCCATGTCCGTCCCCCCCCCCCACATTCTCTGCCAATCTATTAACACTGATTTTTCTCAAGGGGAGAACATTGTGAGAGGAAATAAGGAGTCCATCAGAAATCTCTTGGAAATATTTGATGGCTTGCTCGAGTACCTGACAGAAGAAATCAGTGAGACGGCTTCTCAGAATGGCGGTGAGAGAAGGGGCATAATCAATGGCATGTGCTTCCTCTGCGCAGATAGCGTATTCTGTTTATTTGTATGTAGTAATATCACTTTGCACCTAGAGGGATATTCTTAAAAAGAGAGAGCACTTTCAATGCCTTGCTTAGCATCAGTATGTTGGCATAAAGTGAAAGGACTTGCAGTGCCTCTCAGTCACTGTCAGGCTGTAATTACAGAAACAAAAAAATAAGAGCATAGGAAATAATAGAAAAGAAAGAAAAAGCTTATTATTAGTTATTAAATTCATATACCGCCCTGTACCCAGAGGTCTCAGGGTGATTCACAGAACAAAATCAAAATATAAAACCACAAAATATGGAGTAAAACAATGCTAAATTTCTTAGCAAGTAGTTTTTATTTAACAATATTAGTTGCAAAGCAATCAAGCCTGTCAGATTTAAAGCTCAAAGTGGCTGGTACTGGACGAAACTGGGTTTTTACAACAGTGCCAGCACACCTTACATAAACAGACAGTGCGTCATATAAGCTTCTGTGCCAGAATAAATATTTTGCTGCGTTAGTCATACGCTGACCGATATGCCACTGCAGATGTGTGGGCTGAGGAGGGGATTGATATTGTCACCCTTGCTCATAATAGTTTTGTTTATGAACAGAAGATCTTAACCAGAGGGCTGAAGATGAAGTCCATACTACCGGTCTTGAAGAGGAAGAAGGTGGTGTTCATGATGTGCCAGTTCCCTCCCTGACACTTCCGTCTGCCTCGGGGTAAGGCAGGTTCATAGTTCCCTTAGCTTCCCAAGTCTTTACTAGGTTGCAAAGTGTGCAACGTGTTAGTACCACTGTTCCCTGCTTCGATAGGTGAGGCAGTGGTGCAGCTAGGTAATTTTAGACTATGGCCTTTTGATGACCATGGGCACCACTTTAGTTATAGAATCATAGAATCATAGAATCATAGAATCATAGAGTTGGAAGAGACCACAAGGGCCATCGAGTCCAACCCCCTGCCAAGCAGGAAACACCATCAGAGCACTCCTGACATATGGTTGTCAAGCCTCTGCTTAAAGACCTCCAAAGTAGGAGACTCCACCACACTCCTTGGCAGCAAATTCCACTGTCGAACAGCTCTTACTGTCAGGAAGTTCTTCCTAATGTTTAGGTGGAATCTTCTTTCTTGTAGTTTGGATCCATTGCTCCGTGTCCGCTTCTCTGGAGCAGCAGAAAACAGCCTTTCTCCCTCCTCTATGTGACATCCTTTTATATATTTGTACATGGCTATCATATCACCCCGTAACCTCCTCTTCTCCAGGCTAAACATGCCCAGCTCCCTTAGCCGTTCCTCATAAGGCATCGTTTCCAGGCCTTTGACCATTTTGGTTGCCCTCCTCTGGACACGTTCCAGTTTGTCAGTGTCCTTCTTGAACTGTGGTGCCCAGAACTGGACACAGTACTCCAGGTGAGGTCTGACCAGAGCAGAATATAGTGGCACTATTACTTCCCTTGATCTAGATGCTATACTCCTATTGATGAGGCCCAGAATTGCATTGGCTTTTTTAGCTGCCGCGTCACATTGTTGGCTCATGTCAAGTTTGTGGTCAACCAAGACTCCTAGATCCTTTTCACATGTACTGCTCTCAAGCCAGGTGTCCCCCATCTTGTATTTGTGCCTCTCATTTTTTTTGCCCAAGTGCAATACTTTACATTTCTCCCTGTTAAAATTCATCTTGTTTGTTTTGGCCCAGTTCTCTAATCTGTCAAGGTCGTTTTGAAGTGTGATCCTGTCCTCTGGGGTGTTAGCCACCCCTCCCAGTTTGGTGTCATCTGCAAATTTGATCAGGATGCCCTTGAGTCCATCATCCAAGTCGTTGATAAAGATGTTGAATAAGACCGGGCCCAAGACAGAACCCTGTGGCACCCCACTAGTCACTCTTCTCCAGGATGAAGAGGAACCATTGATGAACACCCTTTGGGTTCGGTCAGTCAGCCAGTTACAAATCCACTGAGTGGTAGCATAGTCAAGACCGCATTTTACCAGCTTCTTTACAAGAATATCATGGGGCACCTTGTCAAATGCCTTGCTGAAATCAAGGTAGACTACATCCACTGCGTTCCCTTCATCTACCAGGCTTGTAATTCTGTCAAAAAACGAGATCAGGTTAGTCTGACATGACTTATTTTTCAGAAATCCATGCTGACTATTGGTGATCACAGCATTCCTTTCTAGGTGCTCACAGACTGTTTGCTTAATGATCTGCTCCAGAATCTTCCCTGGTATTGATGTCAGACTGACTGGGCGGTAATTATTTGGGTCCTCTCTTTTCCCCTTTTTGAAAATAGGGACAACATTTGCCCTCCTCCAGTCTGCCGGGACTTCGCCTGTTCTCCAGGAATTCTCAAAGATGACTGCCAGTGGTTCTGAAATCACATCTGCCAGTTCTTTTAATACTCTTGGATGCAGTTCATCTGGCCCTGGAGACTTGAATACATCTAGACTAGCCAAGTATTCTTGTACTATCTCCTTAGTTATTCTGGGTTGTGTTTCCTCTGCTGAATCATTTGCTCCAAATTCTTCAGGTCGGGCATTGTTTTCTTTATCGGAGAAGACTGAGGCAAAGAAAGCATTGAGGAGTTCAGCCCTTTCTGTGTCCCCTGTTTGCATTTCACCATCTTCTCCTCTGAGTGACCCCACGGTTTCTTTGTTCTTCCTTTTGCTACGAACATACCCATAAAAGCCTTTTTTGTTGCTTTTAACCTCTCTAGCAAGCCTGAGTTCATTTTGTGCTTTAGCTTTTCTGACTTTGTGTCTACACGTGCTGGCTATTTGTTTGAATTCCTCTTTGGTGGTTTCCCCCCTTTTCCATTTTTTGTACACATCCTTTTTTAATCTTAACTCAGTTAAAAGTTCTTTAGATAGCCACCCTGGCTTCTTTAGGCACCTTCCATGTTTCCGTCTCATTGGTATTGCCTGAAGTTGTGCTTTTACTATCTCCCTCTTAACAAACTCCCAGCCATCTTGAACTCCCTTTCCTTTTAGTATTACTGTCCATGGGATCTCACCCAGCACTTCCCTAAGCTTTATGAAGTCGGCTTTCTTAAAGTCGAGAAATTGAGTCCTAGTATGCTTGGCTGCTCCTTTCCGCTGTATAGTAAACTTCAGAAGAGCATGATCACTCGCGCCTAATGATCCTTCCACTTCTACCCCACTAGTTGTGAAGCATACAGTTAACACCTCTCTTCTTCTCGCTCCCCACCATTGCTTGCTCCACAACTGCTTCTGCATTTCTGACATGTTAGTGTTTCTCAACGTGTGGGTCCCCAGATGTTGTTGGACTACAACTCCCATCATCCCTGACCACTGGTCATGCTGGCTAGGAATGATGGGAGTTGTAGTCCAACAACATCTGGGGACCCACAGGTTGAGAAACACTGAGAGCCTCTGCAAGCTGATGGAATGCACTGAACTCAACGTTTCTGCTTGGCGTCTCAGAGAGGATATTGCTGCAGCTTTCTTCCTCCACCGCAATGCCATGACATGACATTGGCTCTGCAACCAACGCACTGGTGCAACCGATTGCCAGATGCTGTCCCCGTTCCCAGTTGCGTAGAATGGCTAAAGGTAGTTGTCACCTGGGAAAATGCGTTTTCTCCAGTTAATGTGGTGTCATAGCCGCCTTCAGTTGATAAACATGTAGCGGTGATCCTTGGCGTTGGAAGTGTGCGCCTCTCAGCTAGCAGCACCACCTTGTGGCCAAGTCAAGTAAACAAATTTACTTCCTTGCATTCTGTTTAGGTCTTCTCGGTCGTCAGAGATAGACGTTCCATCATACAAGGTAGACGGTTCGGAATCTACAAGTGAGCTCATTAAGCTTGGCGACACTGCTTATTTGTTTTCTCTAAGAAATGAAGGTGAGTTCAAGCAACACACAAGAGCAGCCAGATCCGAGTAACTGAATGGCTGCCATGTGAAGACCACTTTAAATAGTTTCTTCCCTGTGCAGGCACTTTCCCCGCAAACAAAAACTGTTGGTATGCAGCAGCTTGCTACAGGGAATTGGCAATTTCTCTCCCCACATTCACAAATTACTTGAGATGAACAGGCATGAGACAAACGATTATGAAATCTATGGTTTGTTGTAATATATTCTAGCGCAGTAGTAAAAATCCAGAAGAGTCACAAGGTCAGTCATTCCCACCAGCAGATGGAATAAATTGTAACCCCTTAACTACAAACACAAATGAAAAATTCAGATTGCATTTTTTTGGTAGATCCTGGTGTCAATTGGAAGTTGGTACTCAAGGATCAAAATAGTGTAAGAGGTTGAACAAAGTTTGAGATCCCCACCAATTCTGCTTATTAGCATACAATTGAAACCAGCATCTTAACGGCCTGAAATGTGAAGCTGAGAGATGTAATTCATTGAGTAGTCTATATAACTCCACAAGTAACTAATACTTGAAATCAACACATTTGGCAGGCTATAAATAAAAACACCCATCTCTGCTGCAGATGGTATTAGCAGAAGTACGGGGTATAATGTTATGTCAGATTCATGCAACAATATGCCGAGTCACAAGGTTATGTGGGAAAACCAGTGGTCCCTTTTGGCCCCTCTTTTGCGGGAAGATCACATCTTAATCGTCATTTATGGAAATACTACTACTTGCTGACTTGGAATTATTGTAAATTCCCGACTTCCAGAGTGCATTGCTGGGTTTGGACTCATCCAGGACTTATTTACACACTACCGTCTACATTTCTCTGTCAGTTTCTCTCTCTGGGTTCTTGGACATTTTGTGATTAAATGGAACGAGCTGGTTGATAAAAATGGTAACTTGCTGGGGTGTTAGTCAGATACCACACTGAGTGGTTGATTAAATTACTAACTTACTAAAGATTTTTAGTTGTTGGATCTGCATTTAAATCCATCAGTTTTGAACATTTACGCTGGCTTTTGCATGTCCCCCAAACCTTAGCATGCATATTTTCGAGATATTGCTCAGGACCACAATACCACAAGGAACACCTCTTCCCAGATGAACTGACCTGGCCCCTGCAATCATGATCTGAGGCTGTTATTGGTGTGCCTCTGGAGGGCAGCAACACGAGAATGGGATGTTTCTGCGGTGTCTCCCCGCTTGTGAAATGCTCTCCCAAGAGAGGCTCGCCTGGTGCCTTCCTTACATATATTCAGGCTCCATGCAAAAGCATTCCTCTTCTCCCAGGCCTTTGGCTAATTAAACAGTCTGTGACCTTTTAAACTGGGGGGGGATATTGTTTTGGTTTATTATTATGGTATGTATCTTTGTGGTTTTTATATTGAAAACCGCCCTGTAATCTTTGGATGGAGAGCAGTGTACAGTGGTACCTCGGGTTAAATACTTAATTCGTTCCGGAGGTCCGTTCTTAACCTGAAACAGTTCTTAGCCCTGAAGCACCACTTTAGCTAATGGGGCCTCCTGCTGCTGCTGCCGCCGCACCACAATTTCGCGATTTCTGTTCTCATCCTGAGGTAAAATTCTTAACCTGAGGTACTATTTCTGGGTTAGCAGAGTCTGTAACCTGAAGCATCTGTAACCTGAAGCGTATGTAACCCGAGGTACCACTGTAGAAATTAAATTAAATAAATGTATAAGGGTACTTAAAGGTAAAGGGACCCCTGACCATTAGGTCCAGTCGTGACCGACTCTGGGGTTGCAGCGCTCATCTCGCTTTATTGGCTGAGGGAGCCAGCGTACAGCTTCCGGGTCATGTGGCCAGCATGACTAAGCCACTTCTGGCGAGCCAGAGCAGTGCACAGAAACGCCGTTTGACTTCCCGCTGGAGCAGTACCTATTTATCTACTTGCACTTTGACGTGCTTTTCAACTGCTAGGTTGGCAGGAGCAGGGACCGAACAATGGGAGCTCACCCCGTCGCGGTATTCGAACTGCTGACCTTCTGATCGGCAAGTCCTAGGCTCTGTGGTTTAACCCACAGCGCCACCCGCGTCCCTTCCATAAGGGTACTTACAATATGGTAACTTTTAGGATCACTCACTGGGTTGAACCCCAAAAGTGCCAGGGGAGCTGTCATGCTATGGGGCTTACTTGGCTCCTCCTTCCTATTCCTGCTCTCAGCATCCACACATATATCCCAAGCTGCTCCTGAGGGTTAAAAGACCTTATGAAATGCAATGGGATGAAGCACTGGGGGCTGCAGCATGGTGGAATTGGCAGGATTTGCTATGTGCGGGATTCCTTGCACATAAGTGCCAACTTAATATTTTATTCTCTTTTTCTGTTCCCTGTTACAGCAGTAGTCTGTTTGGATAATACATCTTCTTCGTAATTAGGAGTGAAATAGTCAAACACAAATGTTTGACTCGCACGCTCCCTCTGCACATAAACAGTCACCTCCAAATGCTGCCCTTAAAATTTCAATTTCTTACAGAGTTACCTGCAGAAAGAGACATCTCGAAGAAGATTACAAAACCTGAAGATCTTGTGGCTTTTGGGGGACCATCTAGTGGCAGAAGAGCTCTTGTCAGAGAAACTCAAGGTGAGTGTATACCAAAGAACCTCAGAAATATATATTTAAAATATATTACTGGCCTTTTCTTGTGTCCATTGTATTTTAATCAAGTAAGGGTTCCCTTTCTTTTACCACCTGGGTTTGATCTTTCTTTGGTGATCTGGTGGGGGAAAGAGGACTGGCTTAAGTTTGTTACTATGTTTCATCTTACCTGTGCATCTTAGGTAAAGGTACCCCTGCCCATATGGGCCAGTCGTGTCCGACTCTAGGGTTGTGCGCCCATCTCACTTAAGAGGCCGGGGGCCAGCGCTGTCCGGAGACACTTCCGGGTCACGTGGCCAGCGTGACAAAGCTGCTCAGCCGAGCTGGCACCAGCGCCGCACACGGAAATGCCGTTTACCTTCCCGCTATAAAGCGGTACCTATTTATCTACTTGCACTTAGGGGTGCTTTTGAACTGCTAGGTGGGCAGGAGCTGGGACCGAAAGACGGGAGCTCACCCCGCCGCGGGGATTCGAACCGCCAACCATGCGATCGGCAAGCCCTGGGCGCTGAGGTTTTACCCACAGTGCCACCCGCGTCCCACATGTTTCATCTTACCTGTGCATCTTATTCAGTTAAATAAAGCCATTCTTTTTGTGTGTGAAAAGTCTGGATGGGCCAAGTTGATAGGAGCTGTGGGGGAAATATCCTAAGCAGTTCTATGAAATCCCATAAAGCACTTGCTTCCAGCATTGGGCCCAAAATTTCTAAAGGAAACTTCCCAGCGGAGTGATTAATTATAATGATTATATGCCCCCCCTTTTTTAAAAGTACATGGACTGAACCTCTAAACTGCTTGTCTTTCCTAAGGAACAGCCAAATCTGCTTTGTCGTCTAAGGAGCAGCTGTGTTCTAATGCAAAAAAGCTTGGGGAACCAATCCGCCCAGCTATTCCTTTGCAGCCACCATTCCAGCCTTCCGCATCCAGGCCCTCTTACCTAACTGAAAGAGGCGCTGGGAGTTCAGGCAGACGTTCGCCGCCGGCTAAACCTTGCAGACTTGCGTCCTCTGATGTAAGTGCTGAAGCTTCCTTTGTTTCTATTAGTATTGTCAGCCTTTGTAGAAATGCATTGCCTTAGGATCCTTAATTTGAACTGCTTCCAGGTTAATGCTGCTAGGCCTTCCTGTGTCCAGGAAGCTCAATATGTACCGTATTTTTCGCTCTATAAGACACACTTTTTCCCTCCTAAAAAGTAAGGGGGAATGTGTGTGCATCTTATGGAGCGAATGCAGGCTGCGCAACTATCGCTGAAGCCAGAAGAGCAAGAGGGATCACTGCACACCGATCCCTCTTGCTCTTCTGGCTTCAGGGATAGCCACGCAAAGCTTCTTGAGTGGAGCGGGAGCGCTCCTCCCTATTCACTCAAGAGGCTTTGCGTTGCTTTTGCGAAGCCTCTTCAGGGCAACGGGAGGAACGCTCCCCCTGCCCTGAAGAGGCTTGGTGCGGCTATCCCAGAAGCCAGAACAGCAAGAGGGATTGCTGCTTTCACTGCGCAGCGATCCCTCTTGCTGTTCTGGCTTCTGGGATTCAAAATATTTTTTTTCTTGTTTTCCTCCCTCCTCCAAAAGCTAGGTGCATCTTATGGTCTGGTGCGTCTTATAGAGCAAAAAATATGGTGTGTTTCGCTTTCAGAACAAAGGTGGAAGAGTGTATTTCTGGCTGAGTTACAGTACGCTGTCTAAGCGTGTTTAACCACTACCACGCCTGCTGATTTAAGATAAAACCAATATATAAGAATCATGATAGAGTCCCAAATGCTGTGTTTGAAACTCCCATTGTTCTAGACACATTTTGCAACAGGGAATTTCATTAGCACATGCAGTTTCTGAGCACTGGGCGCAGTACTGCACCTAAGATTATCAGATTAAAACTGCAGAGTAGAAGGAAAGGAGGACCTTTTTCTGCCTCCCGACTTCCAGCTACTCTCTGAAGACTGGAGAAGAGACCCTCTTAAGAATATTAGGGGGGGTGGGCAGAGGAAAGACTAGACCATGTGAAAAATGAACATAAGATTTTAGCTGCAGTTCATTCATTTTCAGCTTTGTATTCTTGTTATAAAAAAACATGCCTAGACATTCCATTGTTGGGCCCACAACCTAGGTTTAAGGTGCCATTTGGCTCCTAGCTTTAATATCTCAGTTTCTAACACTGCCCAAATGGTGTGGGAAGAGGCACATCTTCATAGTGAGTTCCTCTTAAAGCAATAGGTCATTTAGGGGATATAGAAGATATTGTTTGAACAGGACATCAAAAGGCAATGATTAATCTACTAGCAGTGCCAAGGAATGAGATGACTAGTAAATGGAAGTAAGCCAAAGCCTTTCTAATTGCACAAGGAGAATCAGGGGTGTTCTCTGTATGTTGAAGCAAACTCAGTTGGTGTCATATCTGGATGGAAGAGAAGGGATGAATAAGGTGAATAACCTGTTAGGAGAATTGGCAATTATTTCACTTACTTTTGGAGTGTGTGTGTCGGTCATAATATACCGTTGATGCTATTAGCTATTTAGATGAGAAATGACAAGGCCTACACCAAATGCAAAGAAATTTTAATGTGGTGTTAATACATCTGGTTATTTTTACGGTTTGGATAATATTTTATGCACAAGCAGTGACCATTTTGCAGGCGTTTGATTGGCATGCAACTGTTGACGTGTAATGCAACCCTCATGCAAACAGGGAGTCGCTCGTATATGCATTAAAAACAAGCAAACGCCGCACAAAATTTGCATGTCCCACTTTTTTTAACAGCCTGCAGAGCCCCTTGGGGAAGAGTCTGGAACTCTCTCAAGTGACATCCTTTCCTTATCCACAATCACTTCCGGTAAGAACATTCCTTGAGTTATTGAAAAGTGTAATCTTGATATCTCTTCTACTACTCTAATTAAAGCTACTGACATAGGGAGAAACATACTTTTGAAAAGTGCTTGTAAAAGCGGCTACTTGTGGATCTTTCTTTCTTTCTTTTTAATGCACTCTGAAAATGTTCTCATTTTCCAGGGAACATCACTGTATGCTTATGTTCAGTTTCATTTTTCACCTTCCCAAGGATACCTTGGGTAGTGAAGTTTTTATAATGGTATGGCGAATTCTGTTAGAAACTCACTTCCCTCAAAGAGCTCTGCATTATCCCAAAGAGACTTTTCAGCAAACCAGAAGCTGGTCCCACTGAACTCAGTGTCTGTACTTTCTTTGGCAGATTATATAGGATTGCATTGTAAACCAGTACAGTGGAACCTCGGATTGTGGACGTAATCTGTGACAGAGGCACATCCGCAACCCGCAGCGTTCGTAACCTGCACATGTGCATGACACGATTTACCTTTACCTTTACCTAGTCACTGTGTTATCCTGTTTGCATATGCTGTGACAAGTGTGTTTAGTTTTTTGGGACTTGGGTTTGTCTCTAGTTGTGTTTATAAAGAAGTGAATTATGTAAACTAATTTCTTGTGGCTTCTGCTGTTGGCTCTTCCAGCTGTAGATAATGAACCTACATCTGAAACTGGTGTGAATGAAGAAGCTGATGAGCCAGTGCTAGAAGACACCATAGATGATGCAGGAAAGGTAGCTGTTAATTCATACCCTGTTGGGTGTAGATACATGTTTATATAGGGACACAGGTGGCGCTGTGGTCTAAACCACTGAGCCTCTTGGGCTTGCCAATCAGAAAATTGGTAGTTCGAATTCCCACGACAGGGTAAGCTCCCGTTGCTCTCTCCCAGTTTCTGCCAACCTAGCAGTTCGAAAGCACACCAGTGCAAGTAGATAAATAGGTACCACTGCGGCAGGAAGGTAAACGGCATTTCTGTGTGCTCTGGCTTCTGTCACCGTGTTCTGTTGCGCCAGAAGCGGTTTAGTCTTGCTGGCCACATGACCCGGAAAGCTATCTTTGGACAAACACCAGGTCCCTCGGCCTGAAAGCGAGATGAACGCTGCAACATCATAGTCGCCTTTGACTGGACTTAACCATCCAGGAGTTCTTTATCTTTTACCTTACATGTTTATAGTATTTGAATTATAGTACAGTGGTACCTCTGGTTGCAAACGGGATCTCTTCCGGAGCCCCGTTCGCAACCTGAAAGGAACGCAACCTGCGCATGCGCAGGTCGCGATTTGCCGCACTTCTGCACATGCGCGAGTGGCGAAACCCAGAAGTAACCCTTTCTGGTACTTTCGGGTCACCACGGGATGCAACCTGAAAAGACGTAACCGTTCAAACGTAAAAGAGGTATGACTGTATTTGAACAGTGTGATGCAGCAGCAAAAAAAGCTAACACTATACTAGGTTGCATCAACAGAAGCACAGTGTCCACATCAAGGGAAGTAATAGTACCACTCTATTGTGCCTTGGTCAGACCACACCTGGAATACTGTGTCCAGTTCTGGGCACCACAATTTTAAAAAGATGTTGGCAAGCTGGAACTTGTGCAGAGGAGGGCGACAAAGATTATAAAGGGTCAGGAAACTCAGCCTTATGAGGAACAGTTGAAGGAGTTGGGTATGTTTAGCCTGGAAAAGAGGAGACTGAGAGGATAGCCAATTAAGTTCTTTGCCCAAGGTACCACTGTAAATGAATATCATTCTTTGAAGGACTGCTAATGCCCTAATATTACCAGCAATTCCATTTGGCAGCCCCTCAGTATATGGTGTGGTACTCACTGCTCAGTTTTAACACCAGGCATTCTCTTTAATTTATTCTTGACTTCTTCAGTGAGAGCTTTTTTCCCCTCCCTCTCATCTAAAAGGAAAGGAATGAGAATGTTCCATACACACCAGCTCCTTGCTTTGAGAAGGACAGGTTGCCACAGTTTGCAACAAAGCAAAGCACAAGACCAAAACAAAGGAATCTGCTTCCTGGGAAAAGGTATGCACTTCCTAGATCGTCTGAGATCCTAAAGGTTTTCTTGCATTGTTTAAGACAGGTGGGGAACTACCAAGATTATTAAGTATGAGGTAGTGAGAGAAAAAAGGAGGGTATTTGAAGTGCTGATGATCTGGCTCTGTTCCACGTAGGTTCCCTCCAAGGGGAATGTAGTCCTCAACAAAAAAAAAAAAGGTTATTTCCTCCTGTCTTAAAACCTCAATATTTGCCTCTTCCTCCCAAACCAGCAATGTTATCAGCAGCATAAGGTGATACATGCTAATAACAGTTGTCATATTCTTCATTTATTTCCTCAAAAGCCCATTCATGCAACCTGGGCACTGATTCTTGCAATGCAAGTTTTTCCGCCCTCATCAGAGGGAATAGCATGTCACATATGTAGCTAAATATTTAGGGAGGCCGGTGTGAACCCTGGGGTCCATGTATGAACTCTCATTGTATCGCTGCCAAGAGGAACTCCTGGGAATGCTGTCCGAGTGCTGCTGAAATGAGGTCTTTGATAGAAAAAGCAACATTCATTTTCAGCCTGTTGACCCCATGTGGTTTCTCAGCCAGAAAGAACGCTCCATCACAGACTCGCTTGCAGAGGAAGCTTCTTCACACCAAACGGCAAAGGAAAAGCTGTCTGAACAGGAGCTGAAGGAGATGTCGGACAAACTGTCCCGCAGGATGAATGAACTAGAAGGAGTAAGTAAGCCCCTTCTATTCTTGACAGCACCTTCTCCCAATATAGTGCAGCTCTCCTGTTGTCAACAACTTGTGAGAAAACCTACCGTATTTTTCGCTCTATAGCACACACTTTTCCCCCTCCAAAAATGAAGGGGAAATGTGTGTTCGTCCTATTGAGCGAATGCAGGCTTTCGCTGAAGCCTGGAGAGCGAGAGGGGTCGGTGCGCACCCACCAGTTCCTGCTGGGCTCCCAAGGCTTGCGGATAGCAGCCTGCAGCCCGAAGCCCGGGAAGCGCAGCGTTGTGCACCCGGGCTTTGGGCAGCTATCCGCAAGCCTTCAGAGCCCGGCGGGAGTTCCCACCGGGCTCAGAAGGCTTGCGGATAGCAGCAAGCTCTGGGAGCGAAGGCGAGGTTGCACGCAACCTTGCCGCCGCTCCCGGACCTGTTCTGGGGGCTGGGGTCGGGGGAAGCTCGCTGCACGCAGCCTCTCCCGGCTGGAGAGGTTGTGCATGGCTAAAGAGGAAGCCCAGACAGCCAGCGGGATTGATCCCGCTGGCTGTCTTGGCTGCTTTGCTCTTTGGGGCTGGGGGGGGAATAAATTTTTTTATTTATTTCCCCCCCAAAAAACTAGGTGCACCCTATGGTCCGGTGCACCCTATAGAGCGAAAAATACGGTAGTTAAAGGGGTGGGATGATTTTAAAATCCTTTAGTAGCCCCGGTATCCAAGGACCAGGTGGGAGACCATTTGGTGTCCAAAATACACCACCCTGGGCTTTACTAAATATTCTATTAAAATCAATATATGTAGCATGTTAGGTCAGTTACTCTTTCCTGGGATTGACTTTTTCCAAAGAGAGACAGTTCAGTATTAAAACTGCTACCCAAAATAATGAGAAGTTTAAGGACATAATAAAAGCCTGCTGGATCAGGCCAGAGGTCCCCCTAGTCCAGCATCCTGTTCTCGCAATGGCCACCCAGATGCTTGCAGATGGGCACATGACGCGGAAGCTGTACGCCGATTCCCTCAGCCAATAAAGCGAGATGAGCGCTGCAACCCCAGAGTCAACCACGACTGGACCTAATGGTCAGGGGTCCCTTTACCTATGACACTATCTATATACTTGAGGCTGAAGTTTTCAGACGGATGTTTTGAACACCTTCCCATCAGATGTCAAGGAAATAAAACAACTATCTTACTTTTAGAAGACATCTGAAGGCAGCCCTAGTTAGGAAAGCTTTTCATGTTTGATATTTTGTCATGTTTTTAACATTCTGTTGGGAGCCGCCCAGAGTGGCTGGGGAAACCCAGCCAGATGGGCGGGGTATAAATAATAAATTATTATTATTCTAAACAGTACTAGGTTGTGCTATTGGAATGCATTCTTGACAGATGGGGGGAATCTCTTTAAATGACAGATGTTAAAGCATGCTCTGGGCGAGCAAAGCAAGGAGGAGGAGGAAGAGTCATCAGCCGATGAAGATAATCTTTCTCAGCACAGCGATAGCATCATGGATTACCGCCGAAGGAAACCGGAATCGGGTAACAGTTCAGAGTGTTAAGTTTGACGACATCCTGGTGACCTGCCCCTTTCTTTGCCAGGTGATGTGCGCACTTCGTGGTGGGTTATGCTGCCCTCTTGTGGCGAAAGACAGAGGATGCAGATGGCCACAAGAGGGGCAGCATAACCCACCAATGCTGTGTGTCCCAACACCTTAAAGAAACACCCTCCAGGTGAAAGCCAGCTGTTCCTACTGCATGTGCATTTGGACTTCCTTCAGTAAACTGCAAGCCTGCTGCTGAGCCTTGATTGGCAAAGTGTGGATCCAAGGCCTAAAGTGAAAGGAAGGAATGTTATATTGGAATATGAGGCAGTAGAGTATTTGGTCCCAGAGAGTCCCACTGGCACTGAAGGGCATTCACTGTTAAGAGTTGTCACTCCTCTGTGGCTCAGCTGGCACACGATGTTAATATAAACCCTGACTTAACATAGGCTTGCCATACATCAGGAAAATTCCTGACATGCCCTGGTTTTTGGGTGTAAAAATGACATTGGGGGGAATTTTGCCGAATTGGCAAAATGTCAGGGAAAATCCAGATGTATGGCTACGCCATAGAAAAAGCAGCAGAAACAGCTCAGAAAGCTTAAAATCACAATTTTTGCAGTAAGGTAAAGGTAAAGGTACCCCTGCCCATACGGGCCAGTCTTGACAGACTCTGGGGTTGTGCGCCCATCTCACTCAAGAGGCCGGGGGCCAGCGCTGTCCGGAGACACTTCCGGGTCACGTGGCCAGCGTGACAAGCTGCATCTGGCGAGCCAGAGCCGCACATGGAAACGCCGTTTACCTTCCCGCTAGAAAGCGGTCCCTATTTATCTACTTGCACCCGGGGGTGCTTTCGAACTGCTAGGTTGGCAGGCGCTGGGACCGAGCAGCGGGAGCGCACCCCGCCGCGGGGATTCGAACCGCTGACCTTTCGATCGGCAAGCCCTAGGCGCTGAGGCTTTTACCCACAGCGCCACCCGCATCCCGTAATTTTTGCAGTAGTCTTCCCTAAAAAAACTTAACAATTTGGGTGGGTTTCTTTTTTTAAAAAAAATCTCAACAGCTTTGCTGGGGTCAGGAATTTTACTTTTTGAAATACAGCAACCCTAGCTTAACACAAATTCACAACTGAGTGGCTCCCTGAGGAAGTACAGCTGCTATGACCGTCCTTCAGTTGTGCTGAATTGCTACAAGCTAAACCATGGGTGGCGGGTGGCGCTGTGGGTAAAGCCTCAGCGCCTAGGACTTGCAGATCGAAAGGTCGGCAGTTCGAATCCCCGCGGCGGGGTGCGCTCCCGTCATTCGGTCCCAGTGCCTGCCAACCTAGCAGTTCGAAAGCACCCCCAGGTGCAAGTAGATAAATAGGGACCGCTTACTGGCGGGAAGGTAAACGCGTTTCCGTGTGCTGCGCTGGCTCGCCAGATGCAGCTTTGTCATGCTGGCCATGTGACCTGGAAATGTCTGCGGATAGCGCTGGCCCCTGGCCTCTTAAGTGAGATGAGCGCACAACCCCAGAGTCTGTCAAGACTGGCCCGTACGGGCAGGGGTACCTTTACCTTTACCTTTAAACCATGGGTAGGCAAACTAAGGCCCAGGGGCCAGATCCAGCCCAATCGCCTTCTAAATCTGGCCCGTGGACGGTCCGGGAATCAGTGTGTTTTTACATGAGTAGAATGTGTGCTTTAATTTAAAATGCATCTCTGGGTTATTTGTGGGGCATAGGAATTTGTTCATTATTTTATTTTTCAAAATATAGTCTGGCCCCACACAAGGTCTGAGGGACAGTGGACCGGCCCCCTGCTGAAAAAGTTTGCTGACCCCTGAGCTAAACTATGCTTTGGCTTAGCATGCTGTCCAAACCCAGGGACATGGTTTGCTTTGTTCCAATGAACAAACCTCATTTCACAGCTCATGGTTTGTCTGGTGCAAGACAAACCATGAGCCTGGGTTCAGACAACAGGCTAAGCAAAGCCGTGGCTTAGCTTGCAGCGGCAGGACCAAATGAGGAGCAAAGCGGGAGTTAGCTTTTCTCTGCACTAAGTCAATTTGGCTTCACGTTACATGCGAACCGAATAAGAGCGTGTCTGCAAGCGCCTCTCGTTTCTGCTGCTGCTACTAGAAAGGCTCAGAGCTGGTTTCTTTTGCAGGTGTGCTACGTTTCAGAAGGGCACCCAGCAGACGGCGGTCACTTTCTGCTTCACCCCCTCCGTCAAGCCACCACCTAACCCCTGAATCGGGTGGTGCACTTTGGAAAGATGTACGAGGGCCAATGGGAAGAATGCGCGACCGTGTGCAAAAGGAAAAAGACCAGAGGAAGTTAAGAGCAAAGGTAAGGGCAGCAGGATTGCAGGATGCAGCCTTCTGGGTGAACGGCCAATAGCCTCAATAGGCATATCCAACACTGAAGAGCCTTCCCAAGTCTCTGGCACTAGGAATACAGATGGTTTATCTGCTTGCTCAAAGGGGAGGTTGTAAGGTTTTCTTTTTTAAAAAGGGGGGTGGGAAGCATGCCCAGAGATCTGTTGTCTGCTTCAACATCCACCCTGTGAATTTGCTAGAGTTGTGATGTGACACAGACACCCTGGAAAACAAGAGGCATTCAGTTCTGTTTTGGATTTGTTATGCGGCTTGAGCAAAGTGCTTTGGCACTTATAATCAGCTTTCTAGCCTGTACTTAAGCAGCCAAGTAATAAAACAGCTTAAATAATTCTTCAGCTTTTATTTCTCTGATGTGCTGACTTCTGATGCTTTCCCTTATCAAATACCCTCTTCTAAACTGCGTCAGAGTTTGACTGGCTGTTTTAGCATTGCAAGACCCAGCCCAGTACAGGCAAAGGTTTGTTTGGTTCAGGCCTTAGCAAAATTCCTTCCCACATCTGATGCTTTGGGGGGCAGGAGGTCCAGTGGGCTGCAGCCTCCTGGTGCTGTTAGCTGTTAACTAGCTCTTTGAAATGTTCATGTGTGCCAGCTTGGTATTTTTTAATATATACGAATTGGCAACGACATATGCATTAACATTCCCAATATTAGCTGCAGGAAACATAGCTCTCACTTTGTGGGGAGACACATTCAGTTTCATTGTGTCAATTGCTTTGTTTTTATGGGTTGTACCCAGTGCTCCATACCTGTAATTCTGCTGGGATTATGAGACTTGCCCTTCCTTTACCACCCCACAGTCTACTCCAGGGGGTTCCCCCAACCCCCGTGGAGTTGATTTTGAAGGTGTGCAGGGGGAGGAAGGGGAACCTCAGATGCACACACAGAAGTCCATTGGGCCAACAGAACTGCAGTGCCGGATATATTTTTGCTGACACGTAACGATACAAGCACCATCCTGCAAGCCTAAGCCTCTACCTCGTGGCTGTTCTCTGCGCTGGTCGTATTGGGCTTAATTGGTGTGAGTCATACAGGGGCCATACCCTTTTAAAGGGACGCGGGTGGTGCTGTGGGTTAAACCACAGAGCCTAGGACTTGCCGATCAGAAGGTCGGCGGTTCGAATCCCCGCGATGGGGTGAGCTCCTGTTGCTCGGTCCATGCTCCTGCCAACCTAGCAGTTCAAAAGCACATCAAAGTGCGAGTAGATAAATAGGTACCGCTCCGGCGAGAAGGTAAACGGCGTTTCCGTGCGCTGCTCTGGTTCGCCAGAAGCAGCTTAGCCATGCTGGCCACATGACCCAGAAGCTGTATGCCAGCTCCCTTGGCCTATAGAGCGAGATGAGCGCCACAACCCCAGAGTCGGCCACGACTGGACCTAATGGCCAGGGGTCCCTTTACCTTTACTTTTTTAAAGCTCTACGTGGTTTGGGACTTGGGTACCCTGCATTCCTCTGCCTATGCATTAAAGCTAACCTTTTTTGGGCCTCCTCTCAGTGCCCCAGCCTTCTGAGAGGAGAGTTGCAGCAACTGGCGAGAGCTGCCCTGCCTTAGCTGTGCTGCGTTTTCCTTGGGGAGGCTCGCCTGGCAGCTGTGTTTTGGGCCGGTCTATTTTCCCAGGCCTTGAAAAACCCCAGACCTTTTATTCTTCTGTGAAGCTTTTATACCTTTTATGTTTGGATTCTGCTTTGGTATGTTGACTTGCTGTTTTTATATAGTTTAATTGATGTTTAGCTGCCCTGGGAGTAGAAATGTGGAAAAGTGGCATAGAATGTTTTGCAAAATCGACACACTTGTTGTGGACATTGACCAGGCTTTGTTTTTTGCCTTCCAGCTCTTGACCAAAGCCTACGAGGATGAATTAAGAGCTTACGAGGCTCGTGAGAGATTCGAACTGGCAGAGCTGAAAGCCAAGGCCAAGGAAATTGTAAGGGGGAGCAGAAGAGAATGAAGGAGTTGGGGGTGGTGTGTCTCTCTTGCACTGGTCTCTGAATTCCTGGGATGTGAGGGTGGATTTCCTCTCTTTCAAGGTGCATAGAAATGCTCCTCTTCCTTGCTCAGAATCCATTTGCCCTACAGGAAGAATTTGGCCCAGTCCGCGTAAATCTCCTTACAAGTAGCCAGTGGCTATTTTTGGAAATGCTTGCCTTTCAGTAACTTGTTCTTCATGTCTGTCTGCATCTAGGAACAAAAGTACAAGGAGAAATTATTTAAAGAACCTCCAAGAGCCTCGCAAGCAGCAAAGATTTATTCTAGAAAAAATGGTCCTCGGAATCCCAAACTCAGCCAGTGGATTTCAAGAGGAGGGTTTGCAAAGCCAAAGAAAGCAGCTCCAAGTAAGAACTACAGAGAGCTCCTTAGTAGAACGCTTGGCACCTTTTGAAAGCGTCGGCTGAAGGCCAAGAATACTGGCTTCTTGCCTTATGACCTCCATATGTCTAGACTTGTGTAAGGGAAGCAAATTCATGTACCAGTTTCTAACCAAGGGCACACAGCTCATCCCAACCCCTTTCCCAAAAGCCATCAGAGAAGCCAAGGCTCCCACCACCACACTCCTCTCTGCTCCGGGAGCTCTTCTGAGTTCAGTGTAGTCACTGGCAAGGGTTTGTTGCTTTAAAATTAAGCGCCCAAGCAACATATGCCAGCCGTGCTTATACAGCTTGATGTTCTTCCGAAAGATACTGAAAGCATCTGTGCCAATATGGGCAAACCTGTTTTTCTCTGCTCCACACCTGTAGCTGACTAGGAAAACAAAGGCTGCAATTGTGGTGGTCGCCACAAGAACGCTGGGAGAGGATGCTGTCAATGAAGAGAGCACACTCCATAAATTGCATGCTCACTTTTCACCTTGCATGTTCTCCATTTGCGGTGAAAAGCCACAGTCCAAGCGACTCCAGCTTTGTTGGTCAAGTGTGACACCTGCAATAAGTGCGCAGCTCCCTATTTTGAGGTATTGCATGCAGCAATATGGTATTTGAGAGACTAATTGCACATTACATGCACATGTCTAACAGAATCTGACAGCTTTTTCTTTTTCTTTTTAAGGGAAAAACAGCTTTGAGACAAAGCACAGACATGGCAATGTGAGCCCGGGCTTAATTTTTCCAGTGCCCACCATTTTTCTGTGCAGAGTTTGTTTCTTGCTGCAGCAAAGTAGCTAGTGGCGTTACATGCATGGAACATAATAGCTTGGTCCTACCCACACTTTGGGGCAGTGATTTTTCTTTTTTCCTTTTTAAAATGTGTGAGAATTTAACAACGCCTTCCGTACATATTTATTCTCCAGGGGCATAGACCTGCAACATCTTCCTTAGACAAGATGCTGACAGCTTGAGGACTGGGACCTCAGGCTATACCGCCCTGCCCTTGTCTTCCAGAGCTGGGTGGCTGACACCTGCCTTTCTCTCTCTTGCAGTAAAGGTCAAGGAGAACGACCTCTTGCCTCTGCTCTTGGAGGATTTCCCCCACCTACACATTTCCCGCCCTGTCATGAACAAGATGTGGCACCAGCAGCTGGCACAGATAGACCATCTGAAGTCAACCGGCAGTAAAAACAAATTCAAACTGCAGAGTGAAGTGAGTTACTCTGCTCAGGCCAGGGAGGATCACGGTCTTTTAAAGATCAGGTGGGGCTGTGTGTACCAGCCATATTAGGCTCCAATCCTATGCATGCCTTCCAGAGGGGAGAAGGATTGCTTTTGAGTAAATGTACATAAGATGGCATTGCAAAATGTGCTGATCGGTACTACCCGAGTCTTCTGCTTGGTTTTTCTTCGCTGCAGGACTGATAAGGTTGTAAAAGGGGGGGAGGGGGCTTCTCCGGATTCCACCTGAGTAGATTCTTTCCACAAGTAGCTAGTTCTGATGAGATGAGGAGTTTGGGGCATAAAAGAGATGGGAAGCAAAGAGGGAACCGGACCACGCAGCTAGGTACCTTTGTGGCAGGGCTCAACTAACTCCTGCTGTGGCGAGAGATGAGGGTGGCTGGAGGAAAGCAGAAGGGGACTTTAGAGCGGCGTGCGCCTTTCCTCTTGGAAGCGGATCGGCTTTCAGTGTGACTGCCTTCCTGCTCTCAGAGGGAGACAGAGCTTACAGAAAGAGTTTCTGAGAGAAACTGTAGATCCAAACGTGATGGGTAAAAAAAGGAGGAAGGGCACTTTTTTTTTAAAGTGTCACATGAGTTCATTATAGTATGCAGAAGATTGACATGTGCAAAACCAATATTAATCAGGTTTCTTTACTTTCCCCCCACTTTTAGGCACTAGAAACATTGAAAAGGCATGAACTGCTTGTTGACCTCATTAAGAAAGAGCAGGCTCATAACAGGAGACTGGTATGTTCAGAGATCTTGCAGGAGGTGGGGCTGGTTAGGGCACTAGCTTGGGACCCCAATTTTTTTTTCTTTGGTGGGGGGGGGAGACTACTGCACTTGGTTTTGTAGGTTGTGAGTTATTTTCTCAGAGCAATGCTTTCAAGTTGGGCGAGCCAGGTCCTCAGACACCCCTAATTCTTCTGGGTGAAGCATATTGCCACAGCCTCATCTAGTTTCGGGATTTACCAATTCCTCAGCAGGACATTTTGCTCGATAGTCCTGCAGCAAATGGGAGTGAAAAACTGGACAGCTGATCTTCTGAAAAACGGCCTCCCCTCCTAAACTCTTTTGTCCAGCTATAGTTCCTCTAGATGAAGATCAAGAAGGGAATTCTTCTTTTCTGGTCGCTGCACCTGTTTTAGAAAATAGTTAATACCTTCTCTCTTCTCCTTAGGGAAACTTGAATTGTGTTTCTCGGTTTTTGTCTTTAGCAAGAGTTGAAGCAACACATTAATCGGCAGAAATGTGCCCAGAACAAAATGAAGGAGAGACGACAGCAAATTGTCCGAGCCAAAAAGTACTACCAGGATTACAGAGTTCAGCTGCGGGCAAAGATGATGAGAGCCAGGACACGCGAGGAACGTGTAAGTTGAGGGGAACCTGCGCCGCAGGAAGGGGGACTCCTGCTCTTCCTCCCAGGAAAGTCCAGCTGAGATTCTAAGGACTGTATTGAGACTCAGGCCAGCTTCCATGTTTTCCAACATGCTCTGATCGCAGCTGCATAGCTCCTTCTTCTCCATGGGCAGCTCTCCCACCACTCTGGTAACTTAGGAATGTCTTCATCATACGAGTAGGCTGCCATCATACTGATTTTTCTTGCACTAGGTGTGCTGGTGCTGTTGGGGTTGTGACACCAGTTTGCAAGGTACCACACAATCTAGCTTACCCATTCCTTAGCAGGGTGAGATGAGGCCTGCCCACTGGAGATCAGCTTTGTGATGGTGATAACACATAGATATTTCCTTTGTAATCTCCTTTGAGATTAAGAGCTTGGGGGAAACTTGTCAAGAAAGTAAAATGAATTGTGACTTTGTTAACTTTAGTTCCTACACTACTTTGAGCATCTCAAAGGTGCCTTTTAGGAACACGCAAATGCACTTTCACATAATGAACTATGTAATCACCAAGTCTTATTTAATCAGCTAAAAAAATTATTAGTTGACACGTTACGTTGTAGCTACTGATCCATGGCCAAGGAAGCAAACCGACTTGCGCGCCTGTTGCAAAGCAGGTTACGTTCCCTCGGAAATAATAGGTTTGAGCGCGACTAGCTTTCTTCACTTTGTCACCTGGGCTGAGGTTTTCTTGAACGGAGCTGTTCTTATGTGTGTGGGTGCCATGTTTGGTTTGGCAGATATTTAAAAACCTGTTTGAAGAAGGCTTGGAAATTCAGAAGCAGAGACTGCATGAGCTGAGATCGTATGCCAAGGACAAGCGAGCTGAGCAGAAGAGAGAACATCAGGCTGAGCTAGAGGCCATGGAGTGCTACTATAAGGACCAGGTAGGCTTGCTTCTTCCTTACAAGACAAGGATAAACTAACGTTCTCTTCACCTAATTAATTTGTTTTTCTTGCGCTCTGCTTAGTTTTCAATGCTGGCAGAAGCTGTTTCTGAAGAACGTCGAGAAATCCAAACAAGAGAGAAAGCACAGGCAACAGTAAGTCTTATTGCTCTAAACTTTCTGTCTTGTTGATCAACCACTGGACCAGTGTTTCCCAAACTCGTCCAGCTGCAGTTGGACTACATCTCCCATCATCCCTAGCTAGCAGGACCAGTGGTCAAGGATGATGGGAATTGTAGTCCAACCCCCAACCCACCCCCCCCACATCCACTGGACTCCGAAGTTTGGGAAACCTTGTACTAGACTTAATCCTAATGTTCTCTTTCAGACATTAAACAAAGTGAAACGTGAGCTGAGATCAAAGATGGAGAAGGAGATTAAAGAACTGCAGGACATGATCACACGTGATGATGATGATTCATTCTTCCGAGAACTGGAAGCTGATCGCCTAAAAACCAGACTCCTAGTGGCTTCCTTTCAATATAGCAAAAACTACCAGTTCCTTTAAGTGTTGGAATGCCTCTTATTTCTGGCAAATATGCTTTTTATATTTAAAAATGATACTAGGCGGTATGCAACCTGAAGTATGAAGTTAGTAGCTTGTTTTGCTGCCCCGAATCCATAGACTGTTACAGTGTCATGGAAATATTGAACTGATCTTTTCAAAATGATTTTTTAAAAAACAAGACTTTTTCAATAAAGGTTACCTTCTCAACCGTCAAAACTAAGCCAGTGAAGCTTTCTGTCAGGTGCATCTGAATATTAATCTTATTAATCTTATTGCTTAAGTATAGCTAACTGATGGTGCATTTAAATCAAGACTGGGCATGTTTAAAAGATAAATTCTAGCAAATTTAATATCAATTTCGCCCCCCGAAAAGGTGCTCATTACATTAGAGTAAATGCAATATTTTACGACCACACTTGGAACACTGTGTACGTTTCTGGTCGCCTCACCTCAAAATGAGCTGGAAGAGATTCAGAATAAGGTGATGGAACAAATCCCCTATGAGGATAATTTTGGACTTGAGAGAAAGGGGAGACATGATAGGGTTATATAAAATTATGCATGGCATGAGGAGAGGAGAGACAAGCTTCTCTCACTCTCTCTTAATGCTAGAACTCTGGAATATCTAAGGAAGCTGAATGTTGGCAGATTCGGGACAGAGAAAGAAAGCAAAAAATAGGGCTGCCATATGTCCGGATTTCCCCAAACATTATCGGGAGCTCAAAGGTGGAAGTGGCGTCCAGGGGGGATTTCTGGAAGGAGGCAGTTTTTCCTGGATCTTTGGCAAGCAAGCAAACAAACAAAAAACTGGTGGTTTTTACTTTTTGAAATACGGCAACCCAACAAAAAAAGAACTTCATGCAGCACATACAGTGTACCTCGGGTTAAGTACTTAATTCATTCCGGAGGTCTGTTCTTAACCTGAAACTGTTCTTAACCTGAAGCACCACTTTAGGTAATGGGGCCTCCTGCTGCTGCCGCGCCGCTGCTGCGCGATTTCTGTTCTCATCCTGAAGCAAAGTTCTTAACCCGAGGTACTATTTCTGGGTTAGCAGAGTCTGTAACCTGAAGCGTATGTAACCCGAGGTACTTATAATTAAAACATTCACTCTCACAAGAAACAGTGATCTCCACTAACTTCAAACAAGGATTAGGCAAATTCATGGAGGACCAGGCTACTAAGCACAATGACTGTGTTCTAGCCTCAACTTTTGGTGGCGGTATCCTTCTGAATACCAGTTGCCAGGAATCACAAGTGTGAACATCCTGCTTTCCCCATAGGTACCTGCTTGGCCACTGTGGGAACAGGATGCTGGGTTAGATTGGCCATTGGCTGGATCCAGCAGGTTCTTCTTACGTCCGCATATTAAAGGAACATCAATGAACTGACCTTCAAAAATTTCATCTTTTTCTTCATGTAACACAGTGGTTACAGCTGTTGCAAGCGATTATTTTTCCTCCACATAAAGCTGCTGTTAAGCATATCCAGGGAGCCTCTGCACGTATCCTCTTTAAAAACACACAAACTAAATTACACGATCACCAGTGTTGCTTTTACTTAAAAATGAAGTAAATGCAAAAAAAACCCCCAGTTTTTTTAAAACCATTGATGCTGTGACAGTGCAAACAGCATACAATTTTATTGCTCAACTTCTGCATGAGTACATACTTTTTTAAAAAAAAACAAACAAAAAAAAACATTTTATACAGATGTATTGTTAAAGCTCATGTAACAGCTTGGTGAAAATACAATGTATATCAATGCTAAAAACACTCTGCAATAAATACAATAGAAATGCAACTAAAAAAACAAAAAAACCCACCTGTCAGTCTGTGGAAGAAGGAAAAGTCATACCAAATATAGACTAGTTTTAGCTATAGACAAAGCTCTTAGAATTTGGCAGAGTCGGAAATCTAATAAAGAGATTGTGTTAAGTACAAACTGCTCCTGTTATCTATATGGTGCGGTTTAAAGTCTGAAGCAAGGGGGTCATGCTACATTATGATGTATGATATAGAAGCAATGCTTTTACTTCCATTAATGCAGCCAGTTTTAATGCACCAGAGGTTTAACAGATGTAGTGTTGGGGGGGCATCCTGTGTGCTCTGGACTCCAGTACAACACAACATTTTGGTAAAAATATGATTGGTTTAGGGAAACTGAACCTATGTGCAAAAAAATAGAATACATACTGTACAAAGCACCATTACAAAACTTTACATCTAAAAATTAAATCTGAAACACAACTGAGTACTGTATATCTGAATCCTACAAAATAGTCACTATATTTAAAAAAACATTCATTTCTGAAAAGGAAGCATGGAAATGTGAGGTGACATCTCTCTTAACCACTTAATGCATCTCTCTTAACCACTTAATGCAAATTTAGGATGGATGAAAAAACCGTGTAGGAAGAGGGACAAGCTGGAAATAAATATTCACATTTAAATCTGGGTTGAAAATCCAAAGGTCTTAACATAATATTGGGTTTAGCACTTGTCGACGGGAAAAGTGGCATGGCCGTGGGACTACACTCAATGGGTCTAGGGAAGCTTCTGACAGGTTGCGTGATTTAAAGCATTTTAATGGTTATGCAGATAAGAAGGCACTCAGGAGACCCGATATTCAATTTGCATCAGTCTGCTCAGCGTAGCAGTCAAAGCAATATGCAGAAATGTTCTTGTTTTGCCTATTAGTGAGAATCAGCTTTTGCAAAGTTAGCCCTGTAATGACGGAAGAATCTCTGGACACAATGTGTTTAAAGCAGGACGACAATGAAATTGCTCTCAAGTTTTGATCTCAGACCCGACTCAAGTCCGGCTTCTCAAAACCCTGTAACGCAAACTCCTTCCCGGAGACCTGTCAATGCGGTCTGTCACAGGCTCTCGTTAATCGTTCTGTGGTTATTAGGCTACATCTCCTTATGAAATAATACACAAGATATTGTAAGGTGAGCAGAGGTCATCAGTGGAGGCCACAGCATTCAGCACAATCTGATGCAGCACAATCTGATGCAGAGGCATCTTCCCATGAGGTAAGGGCGAGGCTATCATCTTGGATCAAGTGATAATTTTTCAGAGAAGGAAGTACACAGCTGACAAGCAGCAAGTAAGGCCTGGTACAAAACATGGTTAACAAGAAGCCCTACATCAACCTGTGCACAGGCAGAATGACAACTCCTGGAAGATATGCAGAACAGTAGCCGCGCATGGCTGTGGATATGGAAACCAGTATTCTACCAGCTTTTAATTTAAGACAACAGTAGAGAGAAATCAACGCAATGCTATTCCTGAAACCTGAAAGAACAGTGGAAGCAGATGGATCTGCTCCGATAGAAAGGATCGTATCTGCCAGCCTAGAACCAGAGCAGATTCCCTAACTGGAGCTTAGGCTTGCATTCCAAAATCCGCCTTAAGTCTACTCGGAGCAATCAATGTAGACTTACAGTTCTGCTGCAGTCCATGAGCAAAGGAAGACGAAGTCAGACCTAGCTATTCCAAATGCTGGACAATCTAATCATAAACAGACCACCTGTCACCATTTTTAATTTATTTTTACTATGGCTAATTTGTGTAATTGCTTCATAATTCAATACGACGTAGGAGCGAGGCTGTTTCGGAACCAATGCGACAAATGGAAATGACCGTTCATTCTCGCCTCTCCCACTTCTACATCTTGAGCCTACAAGACTGGTTGTTAACGTACAACCTGCCGGATTAAAGTCAGAGCAGGCTACACACATCTACATCTAGCGAATGTCCTTTGACTTAACTTGCTTTCTCTTATCCCAATTTTAGACAAGGAAAAAGGCCATCTCCAACAAAACCTTCAAGATAAGCAGGGCTGCGCTAACAGTTTTCAATCTGTTGCCTCCATATACGTGGCACTCTTGACTGATCATTTGCACAGAAAACGTGGGTGGTTTTAGATGGTTACTTGTGATGAATTACTACCATATGCCTTGCTGTTGTTTTGTCATTCCTTGCTTTTGCACAAGAAGATGAGCAACCGAACAACTGTGCTGACAGTTCGCTAGACGTTCTCAATGTTGTTCAGCGAGAGCAGTCCACATGCAAGTTCCGCTTTCCTCTCCACACAGTTGGGTACATAAAACTATGAAGAAATATCTGTGCTTGCCAGCATACCAGAAACAGCCAGCAATGATTTCAACAAGAGAAGCTGCACTTTTCACAGCAACTAAACACACTATTGCAAAGAGAAGTGTACTTATGAGCTATCCCCAAGTTACAAGCTCAACCACTTTAGTTATTGATATATAATTCCTTGCATGACTGCCGATTAACAGTGCAATATATTTCATCTAAACGTGCCCCCTTTATTTTAACTATTTTGCATATATTTACCCTCAATGCAAGGATGATTTCTGGGGTGCTCCAGTCAGTTATTTATTGGAGCACATCAGAAAATGTACAGAAGCTCTGCTTTTAAGTCCATTGCATCACTATTTTTTCCCTTAGTTGTAGCTAGCACAAACCCATATGTCACAAGCCATTTAAAATAAAGACGTTTTAACCTGATAATATTGTTTTGCAACAACTAATATACAATGCAGATTCACTGTATCTGAACAGAAAAACTTTGGTTGGTATGACATCCACAGAGAGTTTTGAAAAATGAACTGACGACCTGGCAGAAGGCTGTTGATATCATCAACATACATTTAGGAGTTTACAAAATGCAGCAAATTCCATTTAAAATGGAAAGCAAATTAAAAAAAAACCTCAAGTATTGACTTTTTACAAAAACGCTCATTTTAAAAAATGCTAGATGCTTTAAAAAAGGGGGGTTTCCACGTTTACCACAAAGTACTGTACCAAATACAGTGCAAGTTAACTCCGACTAGGATTCTGCTAAAGAAACTGGACAAGAGAAAAACAGGAGCCAAAACCTGTAATTCATGCTTGAGAAATATAAAAATCCTTACACAAGTAACATTGAAGTTTAACTCATAACAGAATTAAATCATTCACTATAAGAAAACACAGTTTGTACGTTAAGTGGCCTTAATTTAAAAGGGTTATGATTTGCTTAGCCAATTATATGAAAAAATTAGAATAATCAAAATATTTTATTTAAAAAAATAGCAGGTATAGATGCTGTTCAGTATCACATGTTTACTTAAGTAGGCTGGAACGTGACTTGTACCGACAGCTATATCTTGGACCTGTGAGAATAGAAATCAGGTAAGCAAATAGATC